TTTAGCTTTAAAGGGGGGTATTATGTATTTTCCAGTCATGTAGTTCAATTCTATACCCCAGTCAAGTAACTATGTTACCTTTGGTTATAAAAATTCTGTAAATATCAAAAATAAATTTGATTTAGCATCGAAACTCCTTAAAATTGGCCTCTGTCTCACTAAGTACCTACCGTTTCGCACACTCCCACTTCAGCACGTTTTTTCAAACAAACCTTCGGTGGAGGGGTGCTCTGTGTAAATAGGTGCTTTGGATAAATAGGTGGTGTTTTGTACCAGCAAGAGCTCCACATGGCTACAACAGGAGATTCAAGGATTTTTCAAACATGCATGAATGAGTCAAAGCAGCACTCCGGCTATGTGTTTACATGATATAAAGCTAAAAAAAGCTTTTGCATAATACTCTGTCCTCCCTTTCACTAGGACTGTGCACTCAAAAAAATGAGCTATATAACAAAATGTGTTAAATTGATGTTTATTTTACATTTTTTTCTCCACTTGGCACCCCATATGTGCATGACTCGGCCTGATGCGCCCACCTTGCACACGGCGGCCTGAATGATGGCATCGAAGCCGCCCTCCGGAGCGTCGCGGTTCCTGGACACCATCTGCTTCTTCACCTCCTCCGTGAAGCGAGCCACCTCCTCCGTCAAAGACAGAACRTGTTTGTAGCCGAACTGAGGCAGACAGGTGGTATTTATACTGYGGATGGAGCAGAAGTCAACAGTTCACATAAATGTCTGGYAATTTTGTAGCRTCTCAGTCATTTTGTGAAAAKAGCAGATGAAAAGCCCTCTGACAATTACTGGGTTCAGAGCGATGTGATGAAGCAAAAGGGCCTCTGCCAGGACGCTAACATCACTACAGTATTTAAGCACAGCTGCAGTTTATTGCTCACATATGAAGGATTCAAAAGGGATTATATTAATTATATGGTTGTTGTGCATATTTTCTGTTAACCCTGCATATTACGCAACTATCTTCTGTCGTGTAAGGACTGAGTTAATTTCATCAAGCTAACACGCTGAAACTCTTGGCTCTGTTATCTTTTATTCAAACATTCCTCTCATGTCAGAACTGTGTGCACGCAGAAAGTAAACTTTCCCCACGAGACATTAAAACAACAAATCAATCGCAGACGAGTTGGAGTTGGAGTTACGGCGCAGCTTTTCGACTCTCTYATTCGCTGAGCAAATGACCTGCAGCTGATTCAGAGCAGCTGACCGAGCGCTTATTGGAGCCTCGGTGAGCTTTTAACAACCACCCCCGATGTTGTTTGCCTTATTTCTGCACGGTGATTAAAGATGTCCTCATGAAAAGAAATGACATCATCGTGCATGTTGACGCCACTTTCCACACGCAGACATAAACAAATCTCAGAGTCCACACTGACGGGTATGAGAGTCTCTGTTCAGAGATGCAGAAAGTCGAGTAAGAAGAATTTAAAACCTGCTAGTGCCCGATGTCTTCAAGAAAGAGCTCAACTGATCTGTTAGCATTCAGAGTGTGTGTGCAGGAGTGATAAAAAGTGTTACTAGTGGAGGTATGTGCACAGCTTTACCTGTAGCAGGGGTTTTTCACCGCCTCCTCAGGTGAGATGTACATGTACGGCGACAGCGGCTTGTCCACAAACGCCCCAAAGCCCATCCGCAGGTTGCTGGTTGTGCGGCTCATGGCTTCAGCCAGGCCCTTGCCGAGCGTCCTCAAGCGAAACAGGTCATCGTTCATGGAGTACGAGAGGTCCATGAGGTAGTAAAGATCAACGGGGTAGTCTTCCACCTGACGCACCTTCACCGTGAAGCGCTTGGAGTCATCTGGGGAAGGAGACTTGGCTTCATTTCACTGATAGAGAACATCACATTGTTTGCATTGTTCCTGTTTGGTGTAAAACGTCTTCTCCAGCGGGACCCACCTGGCCTGAGGGTGATCTGTAGTCTTTGGGGTTTTATCTGAGTAACATCTTGGGTTGCGCCCGCTGCCTTGTTGCTGAGAGGACGGTCCTCCAGCACCTGCAGTTTGCTGGACGGTGACTCYAGAGCTGATGCAGAACACCCCGCTGCCAGGAGGTTTTTCTTCAGATCACAGCGAGACACGCCGGAAACTCCATGACCAAAGTCCTGATAAGACAACGATGAGGTAAAYAGACGAATATATTTAGGGTTTAGGTGTAATAAAAGTATCCATGAACGTTTAAATGAGAGAAATTCAATCTCCGCAAAAATGCAATGTGAATGTAAAACAGTAGGKGTGCACCRATTCCAGTTTTCTTGCYGGTCTCCGGTCTTTACAAARTCTGACCTGCCAATTCCGATTTTAGCCGTTRCAGATTTTTTAAATAGCTGAMACAGTTGTAAAGTCACAATACAACTTCAATGTTCAAATGTTATTTTACTGAATTACTTTGAAYAATACCCTTGAAACAACACAAACTTGTTTAAACTGGATATCAGGTAGTGCTCACACCAGAGCTGAAGAGGACTGTGGCTGTTTTTCAGAACGATCTTCTCTGCCGATCTTATCTAAGGATCGGCCGATCTCCGATCTCTCAAAAGTAAGGAAATCGGTGCCGATAGCATCACTAGCTTGAAGTTAAAAAGARCAAAACACTACCTGCTAAAAGAATCAAAATGCCAACTAAAAGTAAAAAGTAGATAGCTAAAAGCTAAATGTAGCAAAATTCTAGTTAAAAGTAATGAGCAAATTAAATTCTAACGGTCGCAAATGACTAACTATAAGCTAAATATAGAAAATGCTACCTAAAACCCAAAAGTAAAAATAAATAAAAACTAAATAAAAGATAAAAGCAGCAAAATTATAAGTGGCAAAAGACTGGCTGAAGTCTAAAAGTCACAGAAMAGTAGCTGAAAGCTAATAGTAGCATAGGAGGACAAAAACAGAGCAAGTGGGCTGTAGCAGATTTCAAAGAGAACTACATTTTTGAAAGAATTTTTTAGAGCAAACACATCCTGCTTTTAAATCTTTTTTCTTCACATTTAAGTTGGGGWCTACAGTAGAACTGCAATGCTTTGGTCTGARTTCCTCATTATTGTAACTCAACAAGCCCCTCTTTCTCCTCTGAGGTTGTCTCAGATCAACTCGKGTTGAGGCTGTCTCTTTAAATCCAAACAAGGTGTTTTACACAAACCACCCCACCTCCTCCAGCATCCAGAGCGATCAGTTGTAGTCTGAAAGAGGGGTTTACGTCTATCTCGCAAATCTTGCAATGCAGAAACATTTTATTTACTGATTAATTAAAAGATGTCAACAAGGGAAGACTTGTCCCATTTTAAATGTTGGAGCCAGAGTCTGACCCAGAGCCAGAGGAGAATGAAGACAGCAAAATTCGTGTTGGTTAGTCCAGACCTTATTTGTCTGTACCATCACAAATACTGTAATAGTTCAGAAAACGTCATAAAATTTAAAAAAAACTGAATAAGTTGAAAACTATGACACAAACAGAAGGTCCTCAGCACCAGGAGAGTCTAAACTCAACTTTTCTGCACTCCTAGAAAAGTTCACAACAAAATGTATTTAACAGTAAAAGTTTAAAAGTAAATTTAGCATATGTCCCCTTTAATGTTTCTCTATGATAAAAAGCTTTGTAAGATTAAATATCTTGAAAATTATAAAAGTAAAAAAAAAAACTAAAACTGACAGCCTCCATCTCCTGAAGGAGAGGGATGTTTGATATGACAGCTTGTTGCCTATAACCTGGTGAGTTTAAAGACCCACTAGACGTGAGATCTTCCACACCGGATGATTTCTGGCCGATCACGAGGTCTGTACCAGCCTGGCCAGTGAAAYGTTACCCCTAAGCAGTAAAGCGGAAAAGGGCGCCCACCTCCTGGAAGCACCACGCACAGCTGGGGTGCACGGCCAGACACTGCTTACATGTGCTGGCTCCCCTGGAGGTGCACAGGTTTGAGCCTGAAACAGCACAAAGAAGAAGAATTAGTCCTCCAGAACCTGGAATCATCAGYTACTTTTCAACAAAGAAAACACAGTGATCCGAACCAGACCTGATCTGACTGAATCAACCAAACTTTATGGATAGACAATAAATGCTGAGCATTTATTGGCTGAAAAGCATTTTAAAAACATTAAACATGTAAAGTTTGAACATCTAGATTTTATTCTCTAAACATGTTTTCTATAAACTTAAATGTAAAGCCTTACATAAATCTGAACATATAACTTTTATTATAGTTGCACTGAACAGGATTATATTTATTGAATTTGCATTAGTTTGTCTGTAAAGTGTACTGACAAATATACAGTATATATA